GCCGTCGTCTTCTGGTGGAACCGACCTTCGAATCTCTTCACCCAACACTTTCACTAGAAATGGAAGTAAGTTCAACAAGTATGAAACAGAATATTCCTCGAAACCCAACATTACTTCGCATATAACCGTGAGCTTGTTATTTAAATTAATAAAATTATATTATCAGTAGTTATACTCACGAATGTCAGAAGACCATGTTGCTTACAGGTTACTACACATTTCATAGTTTTGCCATTAACACATAGCTGCAGTCCATCCTTTGGGAGGAAAGGCTATTTGAAATTTAATAGAAACGTAGGGCCTACTCATATCAATGTGGGAAAATTCAACGAGTAGTCCTATATCACCTTGAACTTACTCAGGTCAGTACATCTCACGTACAAATCATTTATAATTGTGGGATGCTTTGGGCTGTGTAAACAGCGCGGCGCGTGCGAGGCTGTGGCCTCTAACAACAATGACTTGGGTGATGGTGATAGCTAGATGCTTCACATGAACTATGAAAAGTATGGAAAACCTGAAGACTCTGAACACGGTTTATATTACAAGCCTAGTGTGGTCGTATACAACACTTCTTCTTTCATTAGAAATGCAATAACCTCGCTAATGAGAGTGTGATCTCTCAAAGATTGTGAAGGATGTGTGACACCGTTTGCACATCTGAATCACCCGTCTGTCAGCATGCAGGCTCGGGCACCACTCGTGGCAACCTGCCTTGTGAGCAACTGTTGGAAATGGTTTGGCGCGAATTGTGGGTGGATTCTGAAGATGATCTTTCTCGAAGTTAGTCACCAAGGTAGAGGCTCCTGGTGTATCATGGTGGACTTAGTTAACGACGAGATATTTTGGATGGGGCAAAGTGAACTCTCGTTACAGCAAAGGTATTAGCGAGTAGTGGTCAAGTAATTTGCCCGTAGAAACAGGAATTTCATACAAAAGTCAAAGTCATCAGTCTGTTCCACTCAATGATGCTTCCTGAAGGTGGGGTGGAATTCTAAGATTTTCTGCAGCGATTTGCTCGTCAAGTGGAACTTGCATAGCGAGCCAATTTTGTAGAGCAGAGGAATGTCATGTTCATTTCCAGTTCATTATTCGCTCTGAAATTGGTTCAGGACAGGATAATTAGTTATTTGAGATGACATTCCTTGAGTACTCTTGTCTTGAGATGGACGTGAATGATGTAAAGCGGAGCAGCGGTACATGATAACGGCAGTAATGCCGGTAGAAGGTGCAAAGAACACGATAGTGTGACTCCTATCAGTTCGTCTTCATCGCCGACTACAGTTCCTATTCAGGCTCTTCTGATAGTCGTAAGA